TCCACGCCCATCAGCGCAGCGATGTGAAAAGGACCGGACAAGGCCGACGATCAAGTCTGGGCTAAAGCCCAGCCACATCAGCCATTGACGACGCCGCTGCGAACTCAAAAAGGTCTGTGGATTTCAAGTTTTCCGACGTCGTTTCCGGTGACTCCGGCTGTTGTTTCCGTCGATCGATGTATGAAACTTTATCTAATTTTCGTGCTCAAGCTGTTTATGTATGTGGTTAGGATAGATTTTGGAGTTTTGGAAATTAATCAATACACCCTAGTTTGACCGACGGCTTTGGCAGTGTTCCGGATTACTCCGGCCACTATTTGGCCGAGGTCCAAGACCAAAAATTTCGTTTTTGAGGTTTTTGTTTTTTTTTTTAATTTGAATTCATATTCGATTTTATTGTAGTCTAATTTGGGTGATTTCATGTTCGATTAATTAAGTTGCTGGTTAAGTTTTCATAATTTTTGCAGTTTTGGAGTTTAAATTTGAAATGTAGATCCAATTCTTCTTGATTTTATATGTTTATTTTTGTTATTGTCGATTTGGAGATAAGCTATTGGATTTTCTAATTTCGTTCTAATTTGTATTAGATATTCGTTTGAGTTTTAAATTGTGATTTTAATTTTTTTTGTTTATAATTTGGATTGATTTCAAATTTAGTTTGGTTGTGGATTTGCTTTTTGTGTTTTGGTTTGAGCTGTGTTACAGATTTGTGATATTTGATTCTGTTATCATATTAATTTTGAATCTGAGTATATTCGTGTTTTTTCTGTTTATGCACTATTGGTTTTTGAGTCGACTATAATTTGTTGTTAGGTAGCAGTGTTATTACCTTATATTGGAACTTTACAGACATGCATTAGAAATAGGATTTCATAGGAAACAAGCAGTGTTATTATCTTATACTGGAACTTTACAGTGGTAGACATGCATTAGAAATAGAATTTTATATGAAACTAGCAGTGTTATTATCATATACTGAAACTTTACAAGGGGTAAACATGCATTAAAAATAGGATTTCAGAGGAATCTAGCAGTGTTATTACCATATATTGAAACTTTACAAAGGGTATACATGCATTAAAAATAGGATTTCAAAGGAATCTAACAGTGTTATTACCTTATATTGGAACTTTATAGGGGTTAAACATGCATTAGAAATAGGATTTCAGAGGAATCTAGCAGTGTTATTACCCTATAATGGAACTTTACAAGGGGTAGATATGCATTAGAAATAGGATTTCAGAAGAATCTAGTAGTGTTATTACCCTATATTGGAACTTTACAATGGTTAAATGCATTAGAAATAGAATTTCATAGGAAAAAAGAAGTGTTATTACCCTGTACTGGAACTTTTGCATTCAAAATAGGATTTCATTGGAAACAAGCAGTGTTATTACCTTATACTGGAACTTTACGGTGGTAAACATGCATTCAAAATAGGATTTTAGAGGAAACAATTAGTGTTATTACCCTATACTGGAACTTTACAGCCATTAATCAACATGAAAGTAAACTAGCAGTATTAAGAATGAGTATATGACTAAATATCTCTTTCTTTTTTGAGTTGCTGAAAACTGACTATTTTATAGTCATATGCAGTTAGTCCAATAGTGAAAATCCAATATAGTTTCAAAATTTTGTCTTGGATTCGAATATAAAATACTGTTATTACCATAGACTGGAACTTTACAGCAATTAATCAACATTACAATAAAGGTTTGGTTTTTAAATGTCTTACCTTTGAAGCCTTTTCTTGTTGAAATTGTTCTCTGAAATTTTATCTTTGTTTTGCAGGTGGAGGTTAGTGTGTGGTGTTGGTTTTTGAAAGTAGATCAAGCTTGGTGGTTGTTATGGAATTTCAGTTTGCATAAATGATGAAGACGGTGAAATGAAGAGATGTTTTGTTGAGATGGTTTAATGAAGATGCGTGCTTGAAGTTACTATTTTCGAGACAGTTTTGTGTTGTAATAAAATGTTTTGGACTTTTTGTAACCAAAATAAAAAAATAAAAAAAATATGGGCTTTTTTATAAAATTGGATTGGGCTTGTTTTGGGTGTTTTTTGAGTTTTTTTTCAGTGGCAGTCCTGTAATTTATAGGAACTTCAACACCAATTTCTTATATAATAAATGGATTTTGGGTGTATTTCTAAAGTGCATTCCATGTGGGGTTTTTTTATAATTTCAGCTCCTATTTTGGGTGTTTTAGTGAAACTCCCTTTTTATTATATCTCTAATTTAAGGTGTATTCATTTAATAATTTTGTTAAATAATATATTGTTTATTTTTTAAATGGGTGAAACGGGTTAAGCGGGTGAAAAACTACCCATTAGCCATAACAGGTCGTGTCGTGTTATTCGCGAATTTGTGTGGGTCGTGTTTGGGTCTGGTATTTCTATCCCATTAACTTAACGGGTCGTGTTGACACGGATAGGAACACGACCCGTAACCCGCAAAAACGACCTGTTTGCCAGTTCTAGTGTAAAGCCACTTTTACACCTCCGGGAGTTGTAAATGTAGTTTTTGCTCCAATAAGAAAGATGTAAATTCGTTTTTGTGTTAAATTTTTATTTTGTGTTAACTTTATAAAATTAATTTTTTGTGTATTAGGCTAATTTTTTTTTTTTTAAAACAAATAGAAGTAAAAATATATATTTAAATTCGGAGAAGATATGATTTCATCCAAAACAAATTAAAGCTGTTGGTCCATGGTCTGGCAAGGTAGCCGTTTTGGGGAGGGGGAGATGACAACCAAAAAATGGGCTCACATATGAATTTTGGTCCAGCAACTTTTTTGCTGACTTTTCTCCACTTTAGCTCACCTTTTTTCAGCTGGATCCCAAGAGATATAAAAAAAGATGTACATGTACATCTAAATTCGCATATCATGGTAATGATGCAAATTTACACTTGTTTACACCTCCCCATTATGGGTGATTCCGATCACAAAGGGTATATATTTAACATATACCCCATTATACACCCCTTACTGTGGATGCTTTAACTACTCATATTATCTTTTTTTAATTCTAAAAATAAAATAAAAAAGAAAAAAGAAAACTAATTGGCACATGTGAAGGGGCTAGTAATTATAATATTTGTGCTTACTTTTTATTAAATTTTAGACTTATTTATTTTTGTGAGATTCCAAAATTTGTAAGATGATCATGATGAAGATTTGGATTTTATATATATATATATACACACACACACACAATAAGCATACTTAGTTTCCAATCTATTACAATAAGCATACTTGGTTTAAACAAAATAAAACAACTTAAACTTTGTGAAACCAAATCTATTACAATAGGCATATTTGGTTTAAACAAGTTGCACGGGGTAGTGTGCTTGCGTCCTTATACAGTAGCTTAGATAATCGCTTGTACTTAAAAAAGTCTGTTACAACTAATGTGTCAAACTGAGGAATTAATAAGGTAACTAAACTATCTAGCTAGTTACAATTCTGATCACAATTGCAAATTCAGGAAATTAATCATGAAATCTCAATCAAATTCAACAATCTAGACCCACTAAATTGATCAAGCAGGTAACTGGGATTGCCTTGCCCTTTCAAGAACAGAAAACATGAACATGGATTTGGAGGTATCCCAATAAAGCCCAATTTTATCCTTCTCCTCCAAGCCTCTCCTACGCACAAACTCTAGTCTCCAATCTCCATTGAGAACGTAACTCTCGGCCGACCCCAAAAGCTTGAAAGTCATGTGATGCCTGGTGTTTGTATCGCAGTCTTCCACTATAACTTCTATGCCCTCTCCACTCTTAACCCTTTCGGCAAACGTGTCATCCAAGTAATGCAAAACATGGTCGATGACCCGTTTTTTGGGCATTAGTAGCCTTGAGCAGCTTCCAAGGTCGCTTGCTGTCAGCTTCTTCCTGATTTTCCAAGGCCCGTGATCCTGAGGCTGTGGACTCAGCGTAGTTTCCGGCACTACTTGGTTTCTTTTCTTCTTCTTTAATTCCTTGTTCATATTATTCGTTATTTTCTTGTGTTTCGGATTAGGAGGGAATGCGGAAAATCTGAGAGGAGCAGGGTGGAATTCCTCTGCTTTTCTCTGGTTTGTGTTGTAATTCCAAGTTGGATCACACAAAGTGAGGGCAGTGGAAACTTGAACTGGTAGTGGACAAGGATTTGCACTGCTACTAGCACGACCAGGGTTTAGGGCTAGGAGTGCTGAGAGCTCATTTTCTTCCTCCATTGTTAATGCTGAAATTAATAGAAGAAAACCAAACTACAGAGCAATCAAATGATGATTTCTAGTTGTTGGGGAGAAACGGAGAGATGGGTTTTTGTGCTTGATGCTGCTTGGAATGAAATTGCCAAGAAGTGCAAGAATTTGTGGGTATTTATAAGGTTTTTGTAGCATATCAGTTTGGGATTTGGAAACATCCTTTTTCAATTAGGGAACTTGCTTTTCCTTGTTGGGTTTGGTTTAGATGTTAAGGCTTTTTATTATATCCGTTTGGGGTTAGGAAAAAGGATACATTGCTACCCTTTTTAATCAGGAAACGTTTCGTTTCGTTTCGTTTCCTTGTTGGGTTTGGTTTAACCTTCAGTGCAGCTTAGGATTCATAATAAAATGGTAAAGAGGCTTTGCTTGCCAATATTAGCTACAACAAAATCCCATCTCCATGGATTGAGGGCCACAAGATCATCATATTTTTCACAATTTTTTTTTTTTTTTTGGAATTTCAAATTTATAGAAAGGACCAAGAAATGCTCGAGTAATAGTTTGAAAGCTTTGGTTTGTTACAAGTTTTCTAAAATACATGAAGTATTGATGAAAATACCAAAAAAAACAAAAAACAAAAAAAGTATTATCAAAATGGGATCATAAGTTTTATCTTCTAGACTTATGGTTAAATTTTCAAGTTACTCAAAATTGTCATCATTAAGAACTATTTTTATCTTCAACAAAAATTTATATATATAAGAATAAATAATAAATAAATAAAAGACATGATATTCCCATGAGTGCGGATCGAGAAACTAGTATATATATATATATTATGCATTATAGCTAGAGTGGCTGAAATGTTAAAATATTTAGAATATTTACATTTTTCCTTTTCTTTGACAAGGCGATATTTCATAGTGATGCACCAATGTTAAGTGGTTGTGACAAAACCATATGAAGTTTTCGTCTAAATATTGGTCTTGCGAGGGGGAGTCATTTTAGGCCCTTAGATGAGGTCCTATCTCTTAACAATTGAATCAAATTAATCAATTTGATCTAATGACTATCTAATTTGATCCAACAGTTAAGAAATAAGATCACCTAAAGATCTTAGACAAAACCCTCACTATAAAATTCTAAAAGAGGGACTACATCCTAAACGATCATAAAAAATCACATATTTAGGCTGAGAAGCCCATAGCCCACAACAAGAAAAAATAGCCCAAATTGTACAAATTTGGGTTGAGCGGCCCAAACAACTTAGGCGTATAAATAATAATATTTTATTATTATCTTCATAATGTCCCATTAAGCCAGGCACAAGCATGGGCTAAGTAAGAAGTTGGTAAGAATTATAATTATAAATGGTAGAACTATTCTCTTTTGGTATGCTTGGGTCTAGTTTTTCTTTAAATTATAAAATAAAAATAAAGAAGAAGAAAAAGGTGATGATGATGATGAAGATGCATTTTCACACAGAATGTTACTAGTGTATCCTCATTTTGATAAGATGTATTATATGTTGGATTCTACATTTGTCTTTAAACGGTTCTTTTTTCTCTTTTCTGCTTCCACCCTTACACAACTAAACATTGTTCAGAAAAAAAAAAAAAAAAATTGGAGGAAGAAAATTGGTGTAGAAGCATAAAACTTCGTATGTGATCCCAAACATAAATATGGGTTGGTCTTTGTTTGTGGAGAGAACATGATATAATTACTTTTCTTCTCTGTACATATTCCAAATGTGATGTTCTCTGTACATAATTGCTTTTCTTCTCTTTGCAGCTTGAGAGAAATAAAAATCCTGGTGCAAAATATGTAAAGCTGGAAAAAAATCTCCTGTGCCTCTCTCTCTCTCTAGCCATACAAATGACTTGCCTACTAACATTTCTGGTTTAAGCATCTGCAGCTATATAATGCTGTTTTCTGTTCCTTGTATCCTTCTCCATGATCTTAACATGAAAACCATTTGGAAATTGTAAACCCGGAGTTCGAACTATATCTCCTCCTTTGATTGCTTCCCACCTGAAAAATTTTGAATGCAAAAAAATGTTATTAGTCTCTCTCTCTTTCTGTCTCCTTGCCTCTCTCTTTCCTATTCTCTCTCTTTGATTTCTGGGCTTTCTTACCTGTACTTTGTAACTAAGCAATGAAGAAACACAGCCATCTGCACCTTAGTAAAATCTGTCCCAACACAGAATCTCATGCCACCACCAAAAGCCATGAAATGTTTTGATGCACTACTTACTTCTACTCCCTGCATTGGAAGTTACTTTTTAGTACAAACAACTGAGGTGTAAGGACAAAGGGTTAGGAGATTTTCAAGCCAAGATCAATTAGTTTTATGGAACTTAGCAGCTTGCAGGTAAGCTAGAAAAATGCATTGTCTGATATAATATTGAAACTCACCTCCCATCTCCATGGATTGAAGGCCACAGGGTCTTCATATTTTCCTGGGTTTAAATGTACTGCTGGGGGACAAACCATTACTGCCCAACCTGCTGGAATGGTATATCCTGCACAACAAAATTGGCATGACAAGTCCAATTAGGATGATGTTCATAGTTGAAACTTATTTAATAGTTGAAAACAATACTATGTGTCATTTCTACTTACCCTTAAAGTTTATTTCTCTCACTGCTTTGCGAAAGATACCGGGAACTATATTTGCCAGCCTAACCGTTTCGTTGATGAACTGCAAGTCAAAATTTATCAGTTTTTTACTTTGTTCAACAGAGGTATGAACATATTTTGTATATTTTGCATATCTTTTTTTTTTTTTTTTTTTGGGTCAACATTTTGCTTTTAAGCATTGAAAGTGTAAAGAGTGAGACTCACCTGAAATGTGAATGTCATTGACTTGTATTCTTTCCATGTAAGTCCAGAATCAGCAATTTCCCTTTGCTTTATAATCATCTCGTGCTCTTTCTGACATAAGATGTAAATG